TTCCTATGGGGTTGCAATCCCCTTCGGCTCCTTCAATCCTCCCCCTATCCCTTCCAGCCTCAGTCCAATAGTTGGCTGTGAGTGTGCACATCTGTCTCAGTCAGCTGCTGGTAGAGCCTCTCAGAGGACAGTCATACTAGGCTCCTGTCTGCAAGCACAATATGACATCAGTAAGAGTGTCAGGGTTTGGTGCCCACACCCCATGGGATGAATCCCAAGTTAGGCCAGGTCACTGGATGGCCTTTCCTTCCGTCTCTGCTCCATTTTTTGTTTCTGCATTTCTTTTAGACAGGAACAATTCTGGGTCAAACATTTGGAAGGTGGGTGGGTGGCCCTATGCCTCAACTGGGGTATATGACTGGCTACCTCTGGGTAAACTTATCAACACACTAGAGATAATTTGGAAGAGAGTTATGTTGTCTTCACTTGCCAACATCATCTAAGACGATAGCCTTGCTCAGGGGGAAAAAAATAACTTTTTCAAAAAAAAAAATGTTTGAATTTAGGGAATTGTTTTATCAGTAGCCCTAAGTATCATAAAATGAATTCTGTCACAGTTGTTTTTTTCTGTTATAAAATTGCCTAGGATTCAGCATTATAAAATTTATAGTTAGCTCAAAAGAAGTTGCCAAATTTAAGCAATAATGGGGAGAAAATCCTAATTACCTAACCGGTATAGAAAAAAAAAAAAAGCACTAAATTTAGCATGTTTTAAAAAGAAGCATATAAAAACACTGAATACTTAAACTGTCTTTTGAAAAATAAGACAAAACAATTAATACATCTCTACAAATGAGTTATGAGAAAAAACAGACCCACTGACTGTCGATAGGTAAGTAATTCAATCCAAACCCATCTACCTGGATAAGACAGCCCTAACAACCACTCGTTGCCTGGCATTCAAATCCAAATAAGCATGGTGGTTGCCATGGTGATGGTATGCCTCTTTTGGAACCTGGAACCCAGTAGTACTAGGTATTTATGAGTTTCATAACACCAGTGCCTCCTCTCACACGCTGAGTCATAGCTCAGGCTTTATAACTTCATGAAATCTGATTTCATACTGACTTTTGTAAGTCAACAGTGTTCCTTTAGCGATATAATGAGTCCATAAATGTCAAAAGAAATCTAGTTCACTTAATGCTTTAAGTGCATCTACTCAGTAGACAATATTAAGTGTATTGCCTTGATAAGTTCTGTGGCGCTATTGGAAACTGCTGCTTTCTTATTGTAACTGGGCATGATCGCATCTTATTATTTCTTAGCTTATGGTTGTAGGCAACAGTGTTCCTATCTCTGATAAAATAAAACTTCAAACATAACACCTAGAAACACTTTTAAGCAAAATATAATTTATTTAAATAACATTCTGAATTGTTAAAGCCTAGCCCAAGAAGGCATCATATTGCTAGTAAAATACTAAAGAAAAAAACATCAATTACAAATCAGAGTATATTTGTGTTCAGTTATTTATTTATTTATTTATTTATATTTTATTTATTTACTGAGACAGGGTTTCTCTGTAGTCCTGGCTGTTCTGGAACTCACTCTGTAGACCAGGCTGGCCTCCAATTCAGAGATCGGTTGTCTCTGCCTTCTGAGAGCTGGGATTGAAGTTGTGTATCACCACTACCCATGTTCACAATTTTTTGATACATTCTGGTCCTGTGCATCTAATAGACTGCCAATGATATCATGCTGCTACTTCTGAATTTTCTTTCGTTCCGTTGCTAGTCTGAATTAAAGAATAGCATATTTATAACAGCCTGAACTGGAAACAATCTAAACATCTATCAATTACTGAATGGACAGAACCCAAAAAAAAATGCAAAATGGAATGCTATTTTTCAACATAAAGGAACATGTGGTATATTATGAACGAACCTCAAAACATTATGCTAAGTAAAAGAAACCTGAGAGTCATATATTGTATAATTCCATCTGAAATGCCCAAAACAGGCAATGCAGACGAAAGTGTACACAGTGCTCTGGGAAATGGCTGACGTGAGGATCAGTCAAACTTATCTGTGGAATGAAAATGTTCTGAATCTGATTTATGGTGATGGCTGCATCATTTGACAAAATTACTAAAGATCATCCACTTACACACTTGGAATAGAAAGTTTTAGGGCATGTAAAATATATCTCAATGAAAAGATAGGTGTGTGTTTTTAAGAGCCAAAGACCAGGGCTACAGAAATCCCTTCTCCGATGAAAAGCCAAAGACCAAACAGGTTAAGCAACATGTTTAAAGTTCACCCAGCTCCAATGCAACAGCAAACTCAGAAGAAGACTGAAACTCAGTTTCACCTTTTGTTCTTTTATACATATTTTAGTGCATTGTTTCTCTCTCTCTCTCTCTTTCTCTTCCACCTTCTTTTCTTTCTCCATAGTCTGTCACACTCTTCGCACATGCCCTTCTGAAATTCATGCTTTTTGGTTTGGTTTTGTGATCACTGTAGCCTGATGGGCCCACTGCCTGTTATGTAACTGAAGGCAATAACTGTTCCTCCTCCAGAATCCATCAGCTCTCAAGGGTAGGATAGGGAGAGAACTTAAAGACAAAAATACTATAATAATTACATAGAAAAAGTTATTTGAAGGAGGATTCTGCAAGTACTAGAATTTGAGAAACAATGATTGATTCAAATCTATAAAACATAAATAATTATAATTAAAACATAAATTGCAGAAAAACTAAATCCAAGAAAAATTCATCTGACATCTTCCAAGGCCTTACTTTCAAAATGGGCAATAAAAGTAGTTAAGCATTTTTCTGCATTTTCAGTGTGAGCTACATTCAAGGTTGTTAACCGTTACTAATTTTGTTGTTTTTTTACTGTTACTAGTTTTTTAAAGAAAGCTTTCTAAGTCTACAGAATAATACAAACTATTAAGTGTAGCTACAATGACGGAAAAGGAAGTTACCGCCATTTGAACAGTAATTTAGGCAAGAATCATGTTGTCAAAACTGCTAAGTGTATGGCTAGAGGGAGAGGATGACATTTAAGGAAACAAACGAAAATACTTACCAGATTATTCAATGGAGGAAAATAAAATTTAAAAATATATAAAGAAACACAGGTGTGGCCCTTAATTGGATCCTAGTTTGTACAAAATACAAGATAGGTCTCTATAAAACCTATTTTGTGAAATAAAATTAATTTAAATATGGAATGTTAGTAAATATTCAAATATTTTTGCCACCTGTAATGTCATATTTGCAATTTGTTTTTATAGAGGTTGTATTAGGGTTCTCTCGAGTCACAGAACTTATATATTCTCCACATATGTGGAATTTATTGGGATGACTTACAGACTACAGTGTAACTACTCCAACAATGGCTAGCTGTGAATGAAAGTCCGAGAATCTCAAAGTTGTTCAGTCCCACACGGCTGGCAGTGTCTCAGCTGCTTGTCTGTATATTCTGGAATTCCAAAGTAGGCTCCGAAGCCAGTGAAGGAGTGAATGTGTTATAAGAGAGAGCATTCAGGCAAAGAGCAAAACCTTCCTTCTTCTGTGCTATGTAGACTTCCGGCAGAAGATGCGGCCTGGATTAAAAGTGTGTCTTCTTGCCTCAAGGTCCAAATCAGAGGTTTGTCTTCCTACCTCAAAGATCCCAACTAGAAGTGAATTTAACCACTTCAAACCAAGCAGAGTTTCTTTCACAAGTGTGCCCTCCATTTCTGGATGGTAGTTCATTCCAGATATAGTCAAATTGGTATCCAGGAATAGATGTATACACTGAAGTGAAGCTCCTGTAGTCTACAGTTCTCTTTAAAACACTTCAATGACTTCGAAACTAAAATTCAAATCCATCTTAATTTCCAAATTTACTGTTGCCACTTAATGTTTGTTGCATGCTTATAAAACAGTAATTACATAGAATTTCACAGACAAGGGTTCAAAGGACCTACCTGGAATACGTTTTTTACCCAAAGTACCAATTGAGCTGATGTAAATTTAGAGGTAAAAGGATACTATTGTTGGTAGCTTACTAGATTTGTGACACCAAACTGTATTTTTTTAAAAAATGTGAACAGAAGGGTCTGCTGTCATATCATAGGGCTAAAAACATCTAGAATAGCTAGTTCCTTAGTGTGTACAAGACACTGTTCCAATGATTTGAAGCAGCAGACTTAAAATCTCTTAATCCTTTAGATATCGCTGCTTGTTACAACTTGAGTGAGCTACTTCACAGGCTGAGAACTTGAAGGGCTGTTTTTAAAATCTCTTTCTTTGGGGGGGCACCAAACTAAAGAAAAGCTCTCCTCTCCAACTTGCTTTTAGGAATATCAGATAATATTAAAATAGGTACTTTATTTAATTCATGTTACTTTTGTATATAGGGGTGTGCTGTTACTGAGGTGAATGAATGCACACTGGTACACTGACGATCTGTGTCTACAGCTCTCCTCAAATTGAAAACACTTGTGACTTTAAGAAACTGAAAATTAAAACCTGTCTTAACTTACTAATTTGATGTTACCACTAAATGATCGTTAGCTGTTAATAAAACAAACTAATTACACAGAACTTTTGCAGACAAGGGATCAGGGAGCCTTTAAGCCTGGGTACCAGCCCTAAAGATGAAAATCGTTAGCCATTTTTTTCCTGCCCCTCTTAAAACGAAGGGTGGCGCTGTCGTCACTCGTTCCGCACTGGGGCGTGTGCGGCCTCTGCACATCGGAAGAGGAAGGTCCGCGTGCCGGCACGACCCGCCTTTCGGTAGCCGATTTTGTCCTACTCTGTACAAGTTAAGATGGAAAAAGACGCGGCGTGTGAGCCCTCGGGCGCCGCGACCTCAGCCCAGCGAATGAGAAAGCGTCGGGGCTTCGCGCAGCACGCCGGAGTTCCGCCGCGAGCACGCTGGAAGGACCGGACCTACCCGGCGAGGGACGCCCTGAGTGGCTCCGCCCCCACGCCGCTAGCCCCGCCCCCGGGTTGGTGGCGTCCTGGATCACGTGCCACGCGATCCAGGCAACCAGGAGCTCCCCGGTTCCGGAAGTCGCGCACAGCCGCGCCAGGCTCCGCCCGCCGCCGCTGACGTCACTCTCAGTCCCTACCACTACCGTGCCTCCGCGTCCGGGTACGGGGAGAGCCGCGGTTTTCTCTGAAGCAGCGCGGCGGTCTCCGGGCCCCTGGTCCGTTCGAGAGAGGATTTTGAGGTTGCTGACCGGCTTGGCCCGGGAGCACTTGCGTGCGGTACAGAAAGCCGGTGGCGCGCAGGCGTCCCCTCCCAAGCTTTTCCCCCTGTCAGCCACTCACGGTGCACTTGGTTCCGCCGAGGCGCACGACGGTTCCGCCCCCTTCTTCCTTGTCATTGATGTTGTTGTTCTTGTCAGTGCCGCAGCCCCGACCGCCGGGAGCGCGAACCCGAGCCGGGGCCGCCCGGGTGGTGCGGTGGCGGCGGCGGCAGCGGCTGCGGCTGCGGCTGCGGCAGCTGCGCCGGCTGCGGGGGCTGCTGCGAGGACTGCGCGGGCGGCCGGGGACGGGCGGCCGGCGTCGGCGGAGCCGGATGGCTCTGTGCGGGCAGGCGGCCGGCGCCGCGTCGCTGCCCAGCGAACTCATCGTGCACATCTTCTCCTTTCTGCCGGCGCCCGACCGGCTGCGGGCCTCGGCCTCCTGCTCGCACTGGCGGGAGTGCCTCTTCTACCCAGCGCTGTGGCCCCAGCTCCGCATCTGCCTCCGCGTCTCGCCGGCGGAGCAGCCGCGGCTGGAGTTCCTCATGCGTAAGTGCGGCTGGTTCGTGCGGGAGCTGCGGGTTGAGTTCGCCGCCGAGAATTATCTGAGCGGAGGCGGCGGCCCAGGCGACGGCGGCGGTAGCGGCGGCGGCACCGACACGGGCACCGGAGGGGAAGAAGGTGAGGCCCTACAACTCTCCTCCCGCTGGCTGGAAGTGCTGCGCATCTACTTGGAGCTGGTGTTGTGCGTGCTGCTCAGCATCCGGAACAACAGGTAGGCTTGCGTGGGGACCACTAGGGTCTCCCCTTTGGAAGATCCCGTGGGGTGTGCCGGCCAGCCTCAGGATGGCCTTGTGTAGGTAGGTGCAGCTATCAGTCCTGACCGGACTATTTCCGGAGACAAGAAGGTGATAACGGGACTTGGAGAGACACTGTATCAAACGCCGTTCCCGGAGCCTCTCCGGCATGCTTTCATTCATCCGTTCTTGGCCGTGGGATAGAGCTACTGGGCAATGTCATTATCTTATGCGTGGGAAAGTTGTGAGTTAAGAGGAAGGCCTGTACAAATAATGAGACGGTTTTCTGATTCTGAATTTGACCATTGGTGATAGGTAATTCATAGTGACGAGGTAATTTTCCCGTTGATGTCCATGATTACAAGAATTAATCTATAAGAATTCTTTAACAGTCCTTTTCCTTATCTGAAATAGTTTTATTACCCCGGACCGTGCCCGAAGACTGGAAGGAGTGCTGGTTAAAATCACTGGGGGGAGAAAATTGTCAAACTTGAAGCTGCACCCCATGCGCCATCAGACTGAACTTATTCCCCGTGATTCACACAAAAGTAACACAACATAACTTGGGGTGGGGTAATGGAGCCGGGCAGACTGTGGGGGCTAAGTATGAAGTTGTCATTTTGCATCAGGACTTTACTATAATTCCACCTACAGCTCATAACCCATATTCTGGACTCCCGGGCAGACTCCATATCCTAATCAGTATCTTTTTTTTTTGTTTTGTTTTTTGTCCTATGAAAGTCTAGTGCCTGTCTTATATTTTCTGTATCTGGATATTTATTCCAACCTTACAATGGCACTCTTAATTTGGAAGAAAAATAATTGCAGCAGTTTACAAATAATTTAGTGATTTGACATTCCAGCGCTGCTAGGGTCAAGGCAGAAAATATTGTCCCACTCTACAGACCAGAAATGGTTGCTTAGTAGGTAAAGTGATGTACACATTGTTATATGGCGCCGTTTTTCTCTAAGCAGTGTCCTTCCTTTCACAATCGTTATCCCAGCATCTTTATGTTAAATAGGACTGTGATTAATACTAAGCCATATATGTCTTATGTACAGATTGCATTTTTTCCATGATCTATATAATTCAACCAAGAGTTTAATCAGGGTGTTGTGGCGCATGCCTTTAATCCTAGCGTTTGGGAAGCAGAGGCAGGGGGATCTCTGACTCTGAGGACAGTCTGCAGAGTGAGTTCCAAGACAGCCAGGATTACACAGAGAAACCCTGCTTTGAATAGATTAAACTGTAAGTATTATAGCATCACACTGTGTACAGAAGTCAGGCATGATACAGATCTGGAATCCCAGTAGGTGGGAGCAAGAGGCAGGGCACTCAGGAGATCAAGGTCATCATCCTCTGCTTAGCAAGTTCAAAGCCAGCACAAGCTTTGGGGACTCCTGTCTCAAGAAATAAACAATATAAAAGAATGGTTTACGCGAACATGGCTCCATTTTTCCAGGGCCCTGACTGTTTCCTAAGCTTTTCACATAAAGCCATTCCACTTCCTTGCTTTGATTTTTATTTGTCAAGATAACTAAGGCTAAAATTTTTCTTAATTGGGTTGGGAGCTTTCTCTCAGAGTTGAGCATAGCTGGAGACCAGCTGTTTTGTTCTGGAATCAACCCGCCCTGAAAAAAACAAAAAACAGGTGGGGAACGGTGGGTGGCTTTGATTCAAGTAAGAACTTCTCACAGTGCCTAGCTCTTTTGGGTATTTTAGTAATCTATGGGTAGATCTATAGCATGCATACACAATAGTACTGTTCTGCATTTTGTTTTTAATTCTTTTTCTTTCATCCTTACCATTTAAGTTTCTGTGCTAATGTACTTGTTTGTGAAGCCATGTGTGTCTGCTCTTCTGAGTCTGCTATCACTTCTCTGCTGACAACTGTCAGATGTCCATAACTGTAAGGTTTTCCTGTCATCTGCTGTAGTGAATATACTGTAATGCTTTGGTAGCATGTCCATTGCGTGTGTTTAGATTGTTTGTACTATTTGCTTTCTCCCTTAAATTAAGTCATGCTGGACTGGGGTGTGGCTTAGTTGGTAGGTGCTTTTCTGGGATACAGAAGTCCCGGCTGGGTTCAGTCCCTAGCACCATTTAAATTGGCAGTGGTAGCACACACTTGTACTCAGAAGAAGCAGAAAGATCCAAAGTTCAATGTCAGCCTTGGCTATATAGCTAGTTTAAGGCCAGGGTGGGATACACAATATCCTTTTTTTTCAAAAAAAAAAAAAAGTTTATATGTCTAGAGATAGGTTAATGTCATCTTTATTTTTGGAACTGTCTAAATACTCTGATACTGGAAGTATTCAAATTATAAAAACATAAATGAGACTTTTCCTTAAATCTTTAACAAATTAAAAACATTTTAAACTAACTTTCCTATTGACTAACTTTAGTGAAACCTGTAGCTTTTTTTTTTTAACTTTCAGTGACACTTGTGATTTCTGTGATTAAAAACTACAAACCTAAAGCAGTGTATTAACAATGTCACTTAGTAGTTTTTTGGTTGTTTTTCTAGTGTTGAAGTTTTTTACCACTGCCAATTCAAAGTGCCACTGGGAACTGAACCCAGTCCTTCCTGTATGCCAACACTTAATAACTAATGAGAAGTATAAACATCGTGTATCATTTTAATTTATAATGATCTCGCTTTATGATTTCTGCCATTTTAAGTAGAAGAGTATGAATTATACTGTATAAGAGATTCCGTTTCCAAGCCGTGTGCTGAATTGCCTTACACAATTCATAGTTATTTTTTCTTCCATGTATGTTCATGCCCCACAGGAAAAGAACTAAAATATTGACATAGAGTTGCAGGGTATAATCAGTGTTACTGATCCTCTGAGAGGATAACTGTTGGCTTGTTTTGATTTGAATTACATATACTGTCAGAGTGATTATGGTGGTCATACTGGTATTAAATGTGTTACGAACAGATGATAATCAACAATAAAGAGTACCTGTTTGCCAGCCGGGCAGTGGTGGCGCACGCCTTTAATCCCAGCACTTGGGAGGCAGAGGCAGGCGGATTTCTGAGTTCGAGACCAGCCTGGTCTACAGAGTGAGTTCCAGAACAGCCAGGGCTACACAGAGAAACCTTGTCTCGGGAAGAAAATAAATAAATAAATAAATAAATAAATAAATAAATAAATAAATAGAGTACCTGTTAGTCAATAAAATACAGAGTTTCAGAAATCTTTCTCTAAAGGAGGCAAGACCTCCTGCCTAATCTAGAACTGCAGTAAAAGCTCATTAAAATGTTTTATTTGTTTTTTTTTTTTTTTTGTTGGTGGTGGTTTTTTCTTTGTTTTTGTTTTTTAAGACAGGGTTTCTCTCTGCAGCTTTGGCTGTCCTGGAACTCTGCAAACCATGCTGGCCCCGAACTCACAGAGACCCGCTTGCTTCTGCCTCCAGAGTGCTGGGGTTAAATGTGAACCCCACCACCTACAACTTAAAATGTGTGTTAAATGGGTTAAATTTACTCTGCAGTGGTTCTAGAAGAAATTCTGCCACATTCAAAACAAGCTCAGAAATACATTTGTAGCTTTTAGCCAAGGTGTCATACTTAGTCTTGAAATGCTGTATTTCATACTTAAGAAAAATGAAAACTTTACAAGTTATCAGTAAGATATAATAGGCTCACTCATTAAAAAATGCTCTCTTTAGGAGCGTTCCCTGAATCTCCTGTCTCCTCGGCAGGTGTAGTTTTTTTAACAGTAGATGTTCACATAATGGTATTGTATAATTGATATTCATCTTCTCTGTATACACATTGCGTGTAAGCATTTTTTTTAAGATTTATTTATTTTATATATACGAGTACACTGTAGCTGTCTTCAGACACACCAGAAGAGGGCATCAGATCCCACTAGAGATGGTTGTGAGCCACTCTGTGGTTGCTGGGAACTGAACTCAGGACCTCTGGAAGAGCAGTCAGTGCTCTTAACCGCTGAGCCATCTCTCCAGCCCCGCATATAAGCTTTTCTGAATTGGAACAGTGCATTTTTTTTTTAAGATTAAACATTGCACCAGGCCAAAGAAGTTCTATGTGGGATTGCGTTTTCTTTACAGCTCTAGGCTTTGCTTCCCCCTCCTAGTTTGTAGACTGGCTACTTTATGCTTCTATCTCCTTCATTATCCTGTGTGTCAGTCAGCTTTCCTTATTCCTATAACATATGTTTCAGTTAAATTAACTGATGAAAAGAAAGAGTTGTTATACTTGGTGGTGTGTGTCTTTAATCCTAGCACTTGGGAATTAGAGGCAGGTGGATCTCTGTGAGTTTGAAGCCAGCCTGGTCTACGAGTGAGTTACAGGACAGTCAGGGCCTGTCAAAAAAAATAATAATTTCACTTACTATTTTGAAAGCTTCAGTCTATTGACCTATTTGTTGGCTCTGATATTGTTCTGTCTGTCCAGTATGGTACCACTAGCCACATAAGTCTATTTAGATTTTAAGTTAAGTAAATACCATTAAAATGTTGACCCATCCCACCGTGCTCATGTAAGCAACCCTAGTTAAATGCCCATGGCCAATTGCCCAGTTGCTTTTACACCTATCCCGTCTTTTGAATTTTCCACCACAGTCCAGAATGTTCAAGCCTACTTTAACCATGGACTTTGAGAATAATCCACATCTAAATTTCAGCACTTTCTCTTTAAAGAAAAAAGTCCATTAATTCAACAAACTTGAGCCTTACTTTTCTTGAAAGAATATGTTCTCCAGCAACTAACAAATAGTGTATGAGAGAGCTTTCATTTTGAGGAGCTCACTGGTCATCACTTGCTTTAAATAGCTCATTATAGAATAAATATAAGTGGTCTCTGCATTCCAAAACAGTGCCGTACCTTAAAGTGGCCCGGTAATGGAGTTCCCAGAGACAGCTTTAAGATCACTGTGAACAGAGGCTGATCAAACTTCCCAGAAGAGCTGAACGAGAGTATGCCCTTGACCTTGCTTTTATCCTCGG